CTCTTCTTCAATTTTAGTCTGTATTTCACTATACATCTCTATCAAACTCGAAGTACTCTCGACACGTAAATTTAATTCTAATGACTGTTGTTCAGTCAAGGGTAAAGTGAACTTTTTAACATAATTTTCAAACAGAGTTAATCGACCTTTTAAAACTCCTCTTTTCTTAATTAAATCTGACAATTTGGGCTCACTCATTTTGGGATTTAAGGAAATCAAGAGTACTTACAGTTGCCAATTTGTATATGCGTGCGAACCAAGGTGGGTGCCGTTGCGCAGGTAGGTACCGCCACTTGAGCACTGGAAATGGAATATCAGCACGAAATCAACACCTATCGAAGGATGAGATGGGGAAACGGACGGGAAGTTCAAACCTGCCACTCCTGTCTGTCGATGCCTTAACGTTGCAGCTCTTCGCTCGATACGTGAATCTCCTCTTCGTATTTTGATGCGACGAATCTTCGGAGATTCCAAGCTTGAACTCCTTATTCGGCTCGATAGGACCACTTTATGTACAGGAACGGGAGGCAGGTGCTCTTCAATGATTGATTTATTGAACGTTTGTTGGTTATATTTAAGTCGTCTTATTGCTAACAGTGTGTATCAGGTAATAATCAAAATTTAATACAGACAGATCTTATAACTAATTGCACGACGTGCTGTGATTGGTTGCTAACAATGACGAGCTCTGATTCGTAGCTAAAAGTTTGGTGTTCCGGTGCGTCGCTAGGCGGCGTTAGAAGTCGCGCCAACACTATGTGAATCCCCAAGTTCTTCACTGAATCTCTGTAAGGGATATTAGTTTTATTAAATACAATTTGGGGTAGGTGATCAACTGATAACTTATTCAGCATTTGCGCGCTACCGATGATAATGGTTTGTGATTTAGCTGGGTTAACGTGAAGGCCGTATGCTTTACTCCACTCGAGAATTCGTTCGAGATCTGTATTAATGACATTGATAGCATTGGGGAGATCGTTGGGACAAGCTTTAGTATATATTTGCAGATCATCCGCATAAAGAGCGATAATTGCGGATTAATTATAAATTTAATATAATTAATCCGCAATTATCGCTCTTTATATAAAAATAAAGACAAACTTTTTTAGTCCTCCTCCTCAAACAAAGCACAAATTTCAAAACTAATGTTCATGTTGACACGTCTGCTTTGGTAGCTGCGGCAAAATCAACCGACCACTTCTCCACAGAGGTGTTAAACGCTACGTCGTGACGCTGTGTTTGAGCCGCATACCGCCGCGTTGTGCGTTACGATCAAGTGACTAAAGCTTTACGTGCTTTCCGAGGCACGTTGGTGAAGCATTTCTTGACAGCAAAACCCAATAATAGATATCTGCACCGATCCGAGATTCGAGACGAGAAGTTAAAAGCAAAAATATCACAAGTAGGCTTAACCAGTTAACGAGTATTAGTCGAACAACTTATAAAATGCACTTGTATTAATAGTAAAAATTTCGTTAAAATTCTATATAAAATGACCTAAAACTAGTTGCTATACTTCGTCAAGAACGAGGCTGCCACTCGAGAACATTTTTACCAAATCAGTTGTCAAAAATAAAAAGCTGCGGTTGCCAACCTACTTGCCAAGCATGGCAACTATAGCAAATATCGCCTCCCTATGAGGCCGTGAGCCGTGGTAGCACAGATGGTTAACGTTCGCTGTAAATATAATAGAACGCGAGTAACCCAGGTTCGATCCCCGCCGGCACCAATGAAATTGAATTGCAATTGTGGGGTAACATGCTCGGCGGTGAAGGAAAACATCGTGAGGAAACATGCATGTCTGAGGAATAAGAAAAAAAATTTCGAAGACATGTGAAGTTCGCCAACACGCATGGGGGCAGCGCGGCGGACACTTCCTTGCCCTAAAACCCTCTCAGAAATTAGGAGAGTCCTGTGCCTAGCAGTGGGACGTATATAGGCTGTAACTTATGGGGCAATCTATGGGTTGGAGGGGGCTATGTTGAGCAGTGGAGTTTTGGCTCTAATGGTAACAGTAATCACTATTAACTAGATCACACAAAAATACATTTATAATAGTGTTGTTGAAAATGACGTTGAAATAATGCCTAAACATTGACTGTAGATTTTTGTAATTTATCTAGGAGCTGAATAATATTTATTAAAATGTGGTCTAGAAAACATATTTCATACTTACATTCTTATTAAATTCGATCTCTTAATTAGAGTTGCCACCTTTTTTTTAAACAAATATAGTATTTTTATCAAATTAGATGCAAAAATGTAGTAATTTTGAGAAATTCAGGTAAAAAGGGACACATTTATTTTTAATCTTTGTGTATTTTTCCATATATATTTGTTATTGTTCTTTGCTTTGGCCATCAACGATGTAACCACTGTACCTTCTACGTTACCTATAAAATAATTATAGGAGTCTGAGCAATTTAGATTCATATTAAAATAAATAAACGATTAATTTTTAATCAAATTAATACATGCTCTTTTTCTTTCTTCTTTCTATTTTAAATATACTATGGAAAAAAATTCGTTTCGTAAAACTTACTTGTTCCAAACCTTGTTATAAAAAGCGCGACAGTTGAATTAGGAATAAAAATATAGCATTTTGCGTACTATATTACTTTTCTATAATATATACTACAAATGAACGAAATATAGTAAGATACTATATAATATATTATAGTACGGGTAGCTCTTAATCCCCAATAACTCCAACCTTTAGAGAAATTCTATAAAGAAGGTACATAGATCTTAATAGATATCTGCTGTGCGGTGACGACATAAGAGAATTAATCGTTTTATGTTATCTCGCGGGTGTCATAATCGCTCTGTGGCCGTGAAGGAAAAGGGGAGATCTCCCGCCGGGCAAGGTATCCTGCCTGCCCGGGTAGCGGCCAACGCTCCGAGTGGTAGTTCGGAGCTATTCTATATATACTGTTTTTGATTCGGAAGTTTGACGGCGCAATTTAGGCTGCGATGTGTTTCGCTTGAGTCGCGACGTCAGCGCCGCCATAGCTATGAGAAGTGTCAGAAGGGTCTTAAGGGTGGATAACTGGCGGCGCTGTCATATCGTTCACGCCGGGCGTATATACTCGAACCGGCAACGAGGAGCAGCGTCAAACCCGTGGACTTGACATGCGAACTTGGAAGCGTCTTCACTCTTTTGTGGATTTGACAACATTTTCGGTCAGATACGGCTTAGTGAACTTTAGAAAACGAGTTTACTCCTTTTTAAAAGGCCGGAAATGCACCTGCAATTTCCTTGGTGTTGCAGTTCTTGATGCGCGGCGGTTGACGCTTAGTATCAAGTGGGCTGTATACTTATCTGCTGTTCTCTTTTTGAGGCTTTTTTGCCTCGCTACTACGGGAGAAGGCTGTGAAGATGATGATGAAGAAAAATACCAGAAAAAGAAACAATGCTCATACCTCAACAACTCATAAACTGTAAATGATCAATAGGGTTTTTGTTAATAACAAAAATAACGTATTTTTTTGTAACTCTCTCATTAGATCAATTGATTAATTCATTTCACATATTAGGGTAATGAAAAAAAAAAAACAAAATTACTGTGAAATGATTTTTAATATCAGACTTTGTCAAGTTGGCAAAATGTAACTATAAAAAAACGTGAAATATATTTTCATGCACTGCGGTGATAGTTTTAAACATAAATTTACCTAAAATAATTGGTACAGCTAAAAACTATACGTATAATATTTCTAACATGCAACACTTATTTCCTTTAAACTTTGCAGTCTGCCTTAGAGCAGCCCACGACGAATCGGAATCAGTATTCAGTACCTAATATACTCTCTACACTAACTATATAACGGAATGTTAGATAGTTAGTGTAGAGTAGTAATTTAATTTTTGATTACAGCAGTTATTAAATTGACATTTTTTATTAAAAAAAAAAGCTATTCAGTGATTTAATTTAAAAACTAAAGCTACTATCATATTACAAACTTCTTTTCTTATAATAATGCCTACCGTAATGTGCAATCTACCAGTATAATAAAGAATTAACAGATACTTTAAATGCAGTTTTTGATAACTTATAAATATTTTCAAATTGGAAAAAATAATTTAAAATTGTGAGATCGCAATAGTTTTTTTTAAATTATGAAATTCGATGCTTGGTTTCCATTTCGAAAATATTTTTTTAGGAATAATGTTCGTTATTTAAAAACAAAAGACAGCGGCGTATACACCATACGTATACGTAAACTTATGTCTAGGGAATAATAATTTAAATTCGTTTTGCAGTCTTAATAAAATATCTAAGCACCTGTTGATCACCTTATTATTATTACAAAAAGCGGCTATATACACATAGTGGATCAACTATAATACATTTTGTTTAAAATATCAAATAATTATGATATAGTTAATACCTAGTTTAAGAATTCTACGTTTGCGTTTATAAACAGTATGTATTTGAATTGGATTAATTGTTACCAAACGTAGTTTTGTTTAAAAGAATCGTAAATAATTTTATTATTTGTCATATTTTAAAACTAAAGTTCTTGTTAACTTAAACAATGTTATTAGTAGCGGTTGTTTGATAATAGCACAGTTTAAAGTTAGACTCTTCAAACTGTGATATTAGGATGTCAAAACTTCAAGTATTTCTTTCAAAAGCTAATGCCCTATATAATTGTAGTCTAAATAAAGCCTCTTAGGCATACAATAAAAAATACAATGGATGTTCTAAAAAAATTATGAAACCAAAGTGAAAAACAGTTTCATATTATTGTATGCATATTGCAATATATTAACATTAAAGCATTTATTAATAAAATTAGATTTTATTACGTGGGTCTATGTTGATGCACGTTAAATTTAAAATATTAAATTCATTTATCTACATGAAGTTCTCTCAATTGAGTACAGAAGCTATGTATTGTCTTTTTATGTTAAAATAAGGATGTATTCTCCCTTAAATCATGACCAATTATTACAAGTGACATGTTTTCAAAGTGAGAAGTCTCAAATATCTAAATTATGGCAACAATTTGTGATATTGTGCCGAGTTCTTATTTTTCTCAATGACGTAAAACGATTTTGGTTTGCCGTTTCCCGAGTAATATTTCCTAAATGACGGTTTCTTCGCTGGCACGTAGTAGGCAAGAGCTTCTAGAGAATTTGGATGATAATTGTCTCCTTTAGGCCATGTTGGTGAGTTTTCCACATTAATGATATCATCATCAAATCTTGCCTGTGGTCGATTTTTAGCGATTTTATGCAGCGTGGGTAAGTTCCAATGGTAAACCTTAGCTGGTTTCCCGTTGCTTGTCATTTGTAAGGGCAACGTGCGTGCGGCTGCCGGGGCGGGGTCCGAGTGGCTGTAGTAGCTCGTGTTTGGTGGTAACTTAATGACGTACATTCTAGAGTCGCCGTTACCGTGCCGTCTGCCCTGTTCCGCTAGACGTTTTCGGTGGTGAGCAGCTGGAATCCTAAGCTTCTTCAGGCCGAGTGATCTGAGGAGTTCGTGTGTGGTAGGATCTTTCTTGTCATTGGTCAGGTTGTTATCGTTGGATTCCCGTGTTGACGCGGCACAGGTTGCGGCTATTGCGGCAACCAGAATTAGCACCAATGTACTGTAACAAAAAAAAAAAAAGAAATCGTTAAATTTAATGTGTTATTTTTAAATAAAAAAATATGTAAGTAATCGTTTGCTGGCTCATTTCATTCCATGGATGTTTCCGTAAGTTACCTCGACTTAGGAAAATGTTTATAACATGTTGTGAACTTCGATACATGTTGGTATCAATTATTTAGGCAAGATGAGAAAGACCCGCATTGGTGTCATGAAGCGGGGTTAAAGGTGCCAAGAAACTTTTAGTACTACGAATCGCTAATGCTCCTGTAAATTGTGGTTATTACGGCAAATTCTCTCTTTATTGAGAAGCCAATGTCCAACAGTGGGCTGCTTAGGGGCTGATGAGAAGAGGAGGAAAATGATCATAGATTAGGTATGCTTCAGTAAGTACATTTAAAAAAACCTGTGCTACAGCATGAATCTGCGAAATGGGCCGGTCTCCGTGATAATAATAATAATGTCCTCCAGACCGAATTTTGGTCGCGGCAGCTATCCTCAACGGAGTCAAGCCATCGGCGCAGGACAGGATTATAGTGCCCAAGTGTATGCGCAAGTACAGGTGCACTCTCTATTCCCTCACTCTCATAATCCGATGGGACGGTAAACCGACACGGCCGGAGAGATATCAGGCGCAGGACCAACGGCTTTACGTGCTTTCCGAGGCATTGGGGTGAGACACCGCCAACTTTCTGACTCCGGGCAGCTACTGAGAATTTCTTGACGGAAAAACTCAATAGTTGATTTTTTGACCCGACCCGGGATTCGAACCCAGGACCTCATGATCAGCAGTCGCACTAATACAACCACTACACAAACGAGGCAGTCTCAGTGATAACACTGGTTTAAAGTCATAGAACGTTGTACCTACGTGTAGAAATTTCGCACCTGTAGATAAGAAGAGCACACTTCCGATTATTTATAAGGTTTATAATGTCTATGTCAAGTTTTTATTAAGTCACTTTGTTTGTCTGTCTTGCAACTCAAATTTCGAGCATTTCCCGATGAGCTAGAGACATGAAATTTTGCACATGCTCTTAGCTGAGTATCGGATGACAATGTAAAAAAAGTGACTTTCAATAAGTATTATTTATAATCGATATTCAATAAAAAAAGTTTCTGTTTCTGTTTCAATGTAGGAATATGAAAAAAAGCGGCCAAGAGCGTGTCGGGCCACGCTCAGTGTAGGGTTCCGTAGTTCCCCGTCCGTCACAATAAGTGTTCCCACTTATGAGTTTAAAGGTGGGTATCCATTATGTTCGCGCTCAAGCAGCGCTCCGCGCTCCTGCAACTGCTCCCGGTAGTGGGTACTGCTGTTTCCATCCAAGTTCAAAATGATTTTCCTAGGTAAAGTTCTACTTTTCAGATTTTTTTCATATTTTCATATTTTTTTCATATTTTTTTTTACTACATATAAAACCAAACAATTAAAAAAAAAAAAAAAAAAATCATCAATCAATCAAGTAAGTATTTTGCGGATTGACTGTTTATTAGGCAAACTCATATAATTGTAAGCTGCCTATTTATGATTAAATTACTGAAAATTATCATGATTATTTTTGAAACAAGAATTTCCGAATATTTTTTTTATAGCAAACAGAATCTTTGAATGAATGCAATTGATTACAATGCTGTTTTTGTAGCTAACCAAATTTTATTACGGCTTAACATTTAATTACTTCTGTTATTAAAATGAGTGAGATGAAAGAGAAACGGAATTTCCTATGTCGGATTGACGTTCAACTTATAATATTAATTAAATATTATACAGTAAAATATTAATTTATTTATAGTAAAATATTAATATTATACCTACGTACATGTTCCTCTATTTGATATAAACTGCTATTTTAATTTTACATAATGAAATGACATAAAACCTGCAAAAGCAGATTTATTATAGGCTATATGCATTACAAAAAGCCCACCCTAACAGAACCAGACATAAAAATTAATAGGTTTCTTTAAAGACGTTCATATTCATCTTAGAACGAGGCAGTACCTACATTGACATGACTAAGTTGTTTGAATAGTTCGTCGATGGCTCTCAAAAAGTCAAATAAAATGGACGCAACGCCATAGAAATCAGTTGTTCTTCGTGAACAGCCCGTTGTCGTGTTGTAAAAGCAATTAGCATAATATACGCGTTTACGGTTTATGTGTGGGATGCAACGAGTGCTTCAAACATTAATATAATATAATAGTAAACAAAATTTGGAAGGTATTTCTAAAAACTACAGTTGCCGACCCGCTTGCCAAGCGTGGCAACATGGCAAAAACCCCCTATGATACGAGGAAACCTATGGGGGAGATCTAGCAATTCATTCAGCAACTGCAGTTGCCACACTGGCAGAACAGTCGGTAAACGTAGTTTTTATTATAGTTGAGTTATTATTAGGGAAGATGCTGCCTCCCATCTCCTCTTCCAGTTTCCCTCTATCGTTTCTGACTACAATCTATAGGGTGACAAACGAGCACACAGTCCACCTGATGGTAAGTGGTTGCTGTGGCCCATAGACATCTACATTTAACCTCGATTACGAATCAAAATGCAGATGCGTTGTCACCCGTGAGGACTAAGATGGAATGCCTCGTTTCCAGTAAAAAGGGTCTCCGGTTCTCTACACTCACCATATGAAACAGCAACATTAAGCTGCTATTTTACTCAGGTATTCTGTGAGGTTGATTTTGATAATTTTTCCAAAATTAATTATCGAATATCAAGTGTTTTTTTTTATTTATGAGAGGCGGCAAACGAGCATGCGGCTCACCTGATGGTAAGTGAGTACAGCCGTCATTGAACAACTGTAACACCAGGGGAATATCGGTACGTTACCGGTCTTTTAAAAAAGAGTAGGTTTTTTCTTGAGGGTCCCTAAGTTGTATCGGTCCGGAAAAAGTCGATTCCACAAGGAAGTTGTGCGAGAAAGAAAACTTTTAAACCGCACGGTGGTGGACTGCCAATCATTATCTGTGGCTGTGGCTGTTATCTCAAGTTCGTTTGCGAGTGCAATGGTGAAATTGAACAGCTAGAATTAGTCCCATCATTTCCTCTGAGCACTCCCCATGTAAATACGATAGTATTATATAACAATATAAATAATATTTTTTTATAATATAGATTTTTAGAATACAAATATTTTTATTCGTACAAAAAACTATTTGAGTATTGAGATAAAATTAGAACAATTAGACTATTAACCCTCCTTTATTAAATACATATTCTACGGTATTGTGATAACATTATCTTTTCAAATATATCACTGGACAGAATCTGATGTAAAATGTAAAAGAAAAGTGCGGTGGTAAATATTAAATTAATTTTTTAAAGAAATGATATAAGTTTTAATATGGAATTCCTATCCTAATGAAAAACGTCGAACTTCAAATTATTTTTTGATATATTCATATCGTAAAGTTACACGCCTGTCACCCAAAGGGGTAGGCAGAGACTACGGACTTGCGTTTGGCGCGATTCTAATGGTCGCCACACACGGTCAGTTCAACTGATAATTCCAAATGATCAGTTCAAACTACAACTGATGAGGTGGTCTCCATAACACACCTCGCCCACGTTTCTCACTTCCATATACTTACACATACATCTTGATCTTCAACATAGCGCCAATTTGGTCGAGAAACTTCCTTTAGTCTTTTATTATTTTTTATATATCTGTTTTAATGTTCCTTTTGTTTCATGTTATAATTCTGTGTTTTTATGTCTGTCTATTAAAAAAGTTTTTATAATAAGGACCTAATTATTTCAGAAAAACATTTTCTTTTGTAAACGTTTTTTTAAACATTAATATTTCTCAGTATACTACGATCCTTACATCACGTCAGCGTGCATTCACGAAGCAAGTTTGTTCGTTATAACACTAGTCTCGCATAACAGAGTATTTCGCTAGCATTTGCAAATTTTATTCGTTACTAGGAAATCGAGACAATGTGCCGTTGTGCGCTGGCTTTGAAATGTATCTGCTCATTACGATGCTCTTGTAGTAATGGCGGCTTTATGTGAAATGAACGATTGGCGTAGGCGAGGCCACACATAAAGTTTTTATAGACCCTCTCTGTATAAACCCTAATGACATTGATAAAGTAACAATCAAGTAAACGATTCTAGAACATTTAAGACGGCTATTATGTTCTATTTTTAAATCTAAGGTAAAGAAGATTCAACAGTATTGAGAAGTTATTCTTATTTTATATGTGGTATAGCCATGCTACAGTTATATTATTATGGTTGTAGCACGAACGGGTCGGCTCGACCGGGGAAGGACCACGTTCTTACAGAACACCAGTGTAAAATAGCAGCTTAATAAAGACCCTTTTTTACTGGAAATGAGGCATTCCATCTTAGTGCTCAGGGGTGACAACGCATCTGCGTTTTGACTCTTAATCGAGGATAAATGTAGATGTAGATGTCTATGGGCCACAGCATCCACTTATCATCAGGTGGACAATGTGCTCGTTTGTCACCTTATACTATAAAAAAAGAAGTTATTCTCTTCAAAGCCAACTTAGGGTATATGCACGCGCCTTAAAATTTCGGAGTAGGCGAGTAAACTTAGTTCTTAATACGCTAACATCAATAAAATTAATTGCAGTTTTAAAAACTGATTTACCACGTGCTTGGCGATGAAGAAAAACACTGATGAAACCAGTATGATTGAGAAATTAGAAAATATTTCGAGGATTTGTGAAGTCCGCCAACACACATTGGGACAGTGCATCGTCGTCGACTTTCAGAAATAAGGTTATATAGAACTGCGCCCAGCAGTGGGAAGTATATATTACTTTTGTACTATGTAGTGCTGGTTATTTGCCACCTCTGACGTTTTAAGAAGATTATGAAGTCATGACGATTCTCCTACATCGCCTTGGTTGTTTGAGAATTGGTCTTAGAATGAGCCAAAATAATCAGGATTATAAAATTCTATTACAAAATAATTTAATTAAAATTTAATTCTACAAGTTTAGAAAAATATGCCTCGCTTATTTATTTCATTTCACTAGCATCGTGGAGGCGTTTTACATACTGAATTTCACACACAACTGTCTAGACCCTTATTCATATTTGTGGACCATACAAAGATTTACCGTGTAGAATTCGAACCTGCGACTACGCAGTGCCACAGCCACTGTCACTGTAATACACAAAAACCTTTACTATATGTGAAGCAGAAATCAGTAAACTAAAATAACAATAAATCGGCCAGGGTAAAGTAAAATCTTAGTATCGACGATATTCATGGTCTTTCCTTGATGACCATTCGTGCCACAACCATAATTGCTATATTATGTAATATGGCTGTACCACGTACAAAAAGTGGCAATGGGCCGGCCATGTAGCTCGTAAAATGTATAACCGATGAGGAAGAAAGGTTGTAGAGTAACAGCCTTGTACCAATAAGCTAAGTGTAGGACGGCCTTCCACTAGATGGAGTGACGACCTGGTAAGACTTTCTGGAAGTTGACGGATTCGCGTGGCCCAGCCAAGCAGCCATCATACGTCAGCACATATGTATGAATGAGAAATATGTATAAATAATTTAAATGTTTTATAATTTTCTATTATTGTGGCGTAGTTAGAAATGTTTGTGATATTTCTTAATATGTTTTCTGTGATACATACTTAAACTGTACATCAGTAGTGTTAATTTCTTTGCAATGTTGCCGGATAGTCGACGTTGGCACAGTTATACCTTTATGGGTCTGACCGCGTCGAGTAATTATTATGGGACAGGCTCTATAAATCACAGTCGTGCGTTCAAAAACGTCTACTGTATATTATAGGGTTAATTCAATGGTCAATGGCTGCAAAAAGAAAATAATATTCTATGTTCTTCTCTGGACATTTATAAGCTATTATGCGTGCCTTATTTCTTAAAGACTTAACCTTAAAAAAACAATACATTTATACAAAAATCAAAATACCCCGACAACCCTCACAATCCTCGATTGACTTTTGAGATCGGTTTTGCAACAGGAAAGCTTACAGCTCGTTGCACTAACGGTGTTTACATGTTCTTGAAATATTTTTTGTTTTTCGGAAATCCTAGGGTCTGGTCACCTCTACTTTTGTTAAAGAATGATTAGCAGTTGGTAGTTTTGGACAGTATTCAGGATTTATCACTGTGTTTGAAAATCGGCCATGAAGATATCATCAATATTAATTATGATACATATGCTTACTCGAATTATAAGCAATGTATCCGGCATAAACATATGTTCAAATATTTGCTTGAACTGGCTACCTATATATACCCACTATCGAGTCGTCCAAAAAAAAAAGGATCCTTTTGTTTCTCGTTCACCATGTTTCAATGGAGACTATAAAGTCTCAAATACAGTAAATAACTGGGAATGAGCGGATAATAAACCGTAATTTATTACAATCTAGCCCCATAAACCATAAAGTGCATGCTATGTATCCGGCCCTTATAAAGAGAAATAAAAGAATCCTGCTTCACTACATTTCTTGTTTTCCCATGTGCTCTATCTATGTAAATTGCGGTTATGTACTCTATATTGCAGTACGAGTTTTGAACGTATTTATACATTGTCGTTTAAATGTTAAGGACGTATAACTTTTTAAGATGGGAATAGTGGTGCTGATTGTACAATTACATAAAATTTACCTTTGTAACTACTTAACTACTTAACGGTGTAATGAATAAAATATATATAAAAAAAAACTTAAATTTTCTTTTTTTTGTTTTAAACAGGAATCCAAAGAGTAAGGAATATAATCACTACTTCTTATAGGTATGTAATTCAACTCGACACGTTGGCCTTGAAAGATTCAAAATAATCTACATTTTACTACTTTCAGAATATTCCTCGTATGTGAAGCATGCACAGTTTTAGGAGTGTACAATACACAAGTAGGTATATAATTATTGAATGTATATTTGATATAGCGTAGTAATACATATTAGGAGTGATTTCATTTAGAAGTGAATTTTATATTAAACCATAAGAGAAGTTATCAATATATAGTTTCAGTAATATTCAGCATTGAAACCAATATCTGAAATCAATAAATAGTTTTCACTTACGCACCTGGCCTTTATGGACTTAAAGATGTTTCTGACGGATAAGATATACAGAATGTACCTACTTTGTATGGGAGAACTCAATAAAGATTAGATATTTCATTTCTTATAGTTTCAATTTTATATACCCAAAATCCGAAGTTATGGCGAAGGACTGATGGCAGAAAATTTTACCAGAAACGGTTTAATAGGCTTATTATGGGAGCAATACAAACTATTAGGTATTAGGTACCGTTTACTACCAATTATTACCAGTGCGATGGTATCGGTTTTAAGCTTACCCAACCTTGTGCGGCGAGTATGACGATTTTCAAATAATGCTTAACAGCTCTCGCAGTATATGCAAGGGGTATTTGAAGCTATGGGCTTTAGCCAGTTGTTGTTGTTGATGACAGTAAATAAGGTAATTGCATCTAATAAGGGCCGGGTTTTTGGAAATCCTTATAAATCAATTTAGGGAAGTGTGTTAATTTGTAAGACATCATGATCAAGTAAATTGTTTTTATTTGAAGAGAAAATATTGTACAAAAACAAAGCACCAATGGCCAATTACTTACAAAAAAAGTTCTTTAAAAGCTTGTCTATGGTCCTTATTGGGCACTAGGGCTCTAAATAAGGTCCATAATTGAACTGCAAGGTTTTAGGCGTTATATACCAGAAAAATTACATCTTTAGAAATCAGTGGCTTTAAACTACTATTAAGTTCGTAGCTTTCGAATAATGAAACGGAAATTTATATAAATTAGTGTCGTGGCCCTTATAAAGTCTTAGGAAATGTATACGAGTTATAATTAATCTATTTTCTAGTTATAATTGAAACAAATTGTAGTTTTATGCTGATTTTTATTTACTCTAGTAAAGAAAATCACAAAATGTTACTAATCAGTCATTTATTCAGTCTTAGTCATTGGACCTTATTAGGTATTACACTTCTGTAATCATAGTCTGGACCTTATTAAGTGTTTGAAAATAACAAACATGGCAACCATTGCAGCTAAAGATTAAAAGATAAATATGCACATATATTCACAGTGTGTATTTACTTATCCTTATTATATATTTTTCTGTTTAAAATGTAATCAAAACAAGCGTATATAAATTAAAAAATGTCTATTTTAAAACTTCGTACCCCTAATAAGGTCCGGCCCTTCTTTGGAGACAACAAGTGGACCTTGTTAGGCACTTAGATATGTACTGAGAAAACTAAAACAAAATCGAGATAAAAAAGCAATAATTTTGATAACTTACCCTGTCAATCCACGTTCTGAAAGTATTTTACACTACTATTGCAGAATTATTACAAAACGACCGGGTTTTATAACTAAAACAACGCAAAATTGAGTCACAATATTTTATAAATTGAGTCACGTCGACCGCCCCTGGGGTTAAACACAGAGCCACTGACAAAATGGTCACCGCGAAAACAATAAACGTCGGTGCGCTTTTGTGATTGGTTACTGGGAAGGGGCCGCGTGGTATCCGTTTTGTTTTAAGTATTAAGTAGGAGAAGTTTGAAAAGATGGACCTTATTTGGAACCGGCCCTTTTTAGGCGCACCTACCTTATCTTTATATTATTGTTATTTATGCGAGCGAAGTGACAAACGAAATTACACTTTGTCAGATAGTAAGTATCTGTTGGTAACTTCGATCAATATAATTAATCGAAGGTTGGTAACCATAGACACCTGTAACCGATTTCGAACAAAAAAGGAACACTTTAGACTGGAGCTAGAAATATTTAAGAAGGTAGTGCTTATCTAAACTAACTCCTAGGTAGAACAGGGGTCTTATGCTCAAATTCCAAACCGCTACTCAATTGTCAAACGCCACTAAGTCTCGTGCTGTCTCTATCGTTTTAAGTCTAAGGCTAAGATCTATAGACCGTATTTCGATTTTGCTCAGACTTTGCTTTCGAGCTAAGACAATGTCTTCATTTATAGAGCTGTCTTCCAAGTTGTGGTGAGCGCGCGCTTAACAAAGCCTAAGTCTATTATTTATTCTGTACCTAAGTCGACGAAATCGACGACTTACGAAAAACTCAGGATATTAACCAAAACCACCATATTAGTTTTGAATTGTTGTTTTTATTATTATTATTGTGGGGTATCCATATAGTTTTCTCATCTGGTTGGGATGTATAAACATATAATTACAAACGAAAACGAAAAGATAAATATACATAAATATCAATAACATAAAATAAATATAAAAGTACATAAATAAGTAAAAGCCCAACCAGATGGAGGCCCTCGGCAGGGGAGACCAAACGGCCGAGGGTTAGGGGGAAGAAACCGGCGGACGATGCGGGCGGTATCGAGGAGCACCGCCTTCTGCATTTGAACCTGGAGCGGTCCGCCACGTAGTCCCAGCCGCCTCAGATGACCCGAGAGGCTGACTGGGATTAGCCCGTTTGCAGAGACGACTACAGGAATAATTTCGGTCGGCAGACCACCCCACATGTCGGTCACCTCGTGAGCCAGGTCCAGATATTTTGTTTGCTTGTCTGTTTCGGCTTTCACGAGGTTCTCGTCATACGGAATGGTAATGTCGACCAAAAATATCCTTGACTGTGCCCGGTCCATCAGCACAATATCAGGCTTATTCGCTAGAATAGTCCTGTCTGTGATGATGGTCCGGTCCCAGTAGAGCCTGGCGCGATCATTTTCGAGCACGGCTTCCGGCAAGTACTTGTAATACGGCAATTTCCGATCCACGAGACCGTATTTCAGAGCGAGCTCCTGGTGTAGAATTCTGGCTACTAGGTTGTGCCTGTGCAAGTACTCAGAGTTAGAAAGCGCCGAACAACCGGAGATAACATGCCTAAGTGACTCACCGGGATGGCGACAAGCTCGACAGATGTCGACGGTGCCATCCTTTAGGATGTATCTCCGATAGTTGTTGGTCTTAATAACCTGATCCTGTATTGCACAGACAAAACCCTCGGTTTCCCCCGAAGAGATCACCAAAGCGTAGCCAGTGGAGGGAGGCTACTGTGTCTACGAAAGGCTCATGTAGAGCCTTGTAGAACCTCCCGTGGAGCTCCTTCTCCTTCCATACGGTCTCCCGGTCGGAAATGCTCTGCACTGCCGGGTCTTGCCATTGCTCGTTGGCTAAGGATAGAGGGGTAAGTCCTTTATCACAAGAAATGACGTCCTTATAGAATGGATCATCCGATCTCGCAAGGAAGTAATCACGGAGGCTGCACACTTCGCGATTATGCATGGTGAGCGCGCTCAAGAAGCCACGACCACCATGCTTCCGCGGCAAGTACAGCCTCATTACCGACGATCTCGGATGATGCATCCTATGGGACGTCATGGTAGTGCGGACTTTTCTATCCAGGGCGTTAAGTTCAGTCTGAGTCCACCTGAGTATGCCAAAGGTATACATGAGGACAGGCATGACCCAACCGTTATATGCGTGTGCCTTATTCACACCGGACAAAAGGCTGTTAAGCACTTTGGTCAAGCGTGCATAAAACACGTCGCAAACTGACTTTCATACCAGCCTCATCGATACCGATGTTCTGTGACATACCCAGGTATCGGTATGTTTCAGCCTCGGAAAGGGTTCTTAAGTTGACGGGCATAGATAAGTCTATGCCCTCAGAGTTAGCAACCCTTCCCCTTTCAACATGAAGGACCGCACACTTATCCGTCCCCAGCTCCATTCTAATAGAATTGCTAAATTCACACGTGATGTTTAGCAATTCCATAAGATGGGAGCGACTGGAGGCGAATAATTTGAGGTCATCAATATAGAAAAGGTGGGTCACTTTTGTACCTCCTTTCCGAAGCTGAAATCCCCTCCCGGAGCCCTCCAGTAAAGTACTGAGAGGGTTCAAAGAGAGGCAGAACCAGATTGGACTCAGACAGTCGCCCTGGAATATACCCCTTCTTATCCTTATGCGGCTTTCCGCAGCCGTCATCCGCTCGCCTAGATGACAGAGGATCGTACTCCACTGCCCCATACACTGCTCGAGGAAGTCTCGAACTGTACAGTCAATCTTGTACAGCTCGAGGACCCTCTTTAGCCATGTATGGGGCACCGAGTCAAATGCCTTTCTGTAATCTATCCAGGCGGCGGAGAAGTTCCGACGGTTGCGTTTCACCACTTTGCCAATGACCGCGTCAATGAGGAGTGGTTCCTTGGTTCCACGACCGCCGCCCCGACATCCATTTTGAGCGCGCGACATCACCTGATTTAAGTCCAGGTGACGAGCGATTCTTGTGCTCAAAATGGATGTTAGTGTTGTAGCGGCGCTGTCGTCGCGCCACTAGCACACCGAAACACACCGAAGCCTAAATCGCGCTATTAACATTCCGAATCATAGACAGTATATATAGAACATCTCCGAACTATCACACGGAGTGTTGGCCGCTCCCCGGGCAGAACACCTTGCCTGGCGGGAGATCTCCCCTTTTCCTTTCACGGCCACAGTGGTGACCCCGACGTGATTACCTTCGGAAACTTCAAGCTTCATCATCGTCATATAATACCCCACCGTATCGCTCCCGAGCAGATATTGTCTGCAGTCTTCATATCCTGCAAGCCATCTAGCTTCACAAGGTTCATCGCAGCACTGGAATAATAATGCTTCCTGTTCCTTCAAGCTACTCTCTGCGCTATACAGTGTTCGGCATGGCTCTGAGCCTTACTGCTCGCCTCTGCTCCACGGCACTCTCGCAGATCACTTGCCTTCTTCTCGACTCACCGCAGACTACAAGGCAATCTCCTGGCACTTGCACATTCGTCGGCAACGAGGCTGCACTATCGACCTCCGGTCTGAGCAGGGGGGTGATGTAGCGGCGCTGTCGTCGCGCCACTAGCACACCGAAACACACCGAAGCCTAAATCGCGCTATTAACATTCCGAATCATAGACAGTATATATAGAACATCTCCGAACTATCACACGGAGTGTTGGCCGCTCCCCGGGCAGAACACCTTGCCTGGCGGGAGATCTCCCCTTTTCCTTTCTACGGCCACAGTGTCTTGTATATGGTCGGTAGACACGTGATGGGGCGGTATTTGCTCGGGTCTGTGGCACCCTGATCTTTAGGAACCAAATGAGTGATCCCAGTAGTGAAGAGGCTTGGGAGCGACTTCTGGTTGAGAGCCTCTTGAAACTGTCGGGCGAGCACAGAGTGACACACCATGAACCCTTTCAGCCAGTAGTGATGCAGCCCGTCAAGCCCGTCCGAACTGGAAAAGTCCGGGGCCCTACGGACCGCCTCAGCTACGTCATCCGGCGTTATGATGACGGGGTCCATGGGCGTAATACTCGCACACTGACTCGCCACAACTTCCGTCCAAGGGCCCTCGTTGTGATTTACGGGCTCTGACCACAGGCTGCGCCAGAATGCGACCATGTCGGCCTGATTTGGTGCAGGGCCCGTTCCACTTACTATTGGTCGCTCCACTGATTTATAGAGCCTCTTCTGATCACTCTGGAAGAGACGATTCTGGTTGAACCGTGTCGACCTCTCGGTATATCGCCGAATCCGCTTTCCCCAAGCAGCTATTCTTTGCTTCAGGTCGTCTATGCGCTCCGTCAGTTTTTGCATTATATCCGGCTGGGACAAACTAACATTTGTCCCAGCAAACGCCATCCTGACGGTGCGCACAATCCTTGGCCTGGTATTGCCTGACCTGAAGCATATCAGTCTGCCGATGAGGGCCCTAGCCTTTGCGATACGTTCTTCAATTCTTATTCTCCAGGCTGGGATAGCACTACTTTGTCCAGTAGCGCGTCCAGCGTGGAAAGTTTGGCACCTATAATACGGCAGACTGCCAGTGCGGCGCCAAAAAGAATTGAGTCCGTATCGCAAAGGTCCCGGCTGGCTTCCAAATAGGTAACCAGCATTGGGTTCAGAGCCCTCACGACAGCCCTATTCCGCTTGCTTAGGGCTAAGCGGGGATGTCGCGGTCGATTTTCGAGAGTCGTACTGCGCGTTTCCACAATCGCCTCTTCCAATGTACTCCTCATTTGCTCTAGTTCCAGTTCCTGGGCGACTGTTCCATCATCGTTTGAATCAACCACAACTGGCGTATTCACGGCGGCATCCACATTTGCCGTTTGCTCAGCAAGTTGTGGCGCCGCATCCTCAGCCGCAGCATTTTCACCCGATGAAGGAACAGCCTCACGTCGTAGCCGTTCGAGTTCGGTGACATCAAATGTATTTGAGCGCAAGGTATACCGAACTCGGTCTGCCAGGTTTTGCTCGGTGACGGTTACAGATGGCTCCAGCTCAGCAAAAAGTCGATGCATCCTTGCCCGATACGCAAAACCTCCAGTTTCTCCCCCTTTCGCCCTAAAATACGCCCGCAATGCGTTGCTGTTCATTTGGGTTGTCCAACGCATGCGGCGTACTCCACCAGTGGCGGGTGCCGATTGCTGAGCCCGCGAAGACCCTGCCGACACCAAGCCAGCTGGTGGGGATGATGGATGCGAGGAGCTGCTGGGTGGTCATGCAGCACCTCGCGCTCGGCTGGCGGTTCGCATGCTGTCGCGTCCAGCGCCAGCTCCAGACGCGCCCTGGCGACCTCCAGGCAGCGGCCCTTTGCGCGTTCCATTTGATTCCATCATCCATTTTAGGGCGTCATTTAGCGGGAGACGCCCAGACCCGGCGCCGTTTCATGGTTAGGTCATGTGCACAAGCGGGCCTTGGCACCTTCAATTTTTGCCGAGGCACGGCACTAACACCTCTTGGCAAGGTGTTGACTGACTGCGCCGACGTCGCAGTTTTGTCACATAACTGTTACGTCAGCGGGCGATGGGGTCGTCACTTCCCTACGCCTTATTATATTTATTATTATTATTATTATTATTCTTTATTTCAGAAATTTCTTTCCATAGAGTGGGTTAGTAATTACGGAAAGAACTTATAAGCTAGGGTTAGTAAATAAATGAAATTTAAAAGGTTACATACTGTATTACTATAGACTATCTACTTTATATTTACCAGAGCAGGTCTCGAGCCGATATGGACGCTGTTCCAGTGGCTCAAGATAAGACAGCAATAGCGACTCCCTATCGCTGCCAGGAGGCTGTTGGAGCTATCCCGGACATGGCGCCATGCGGAGGCAACCTGTTTGCGCATGTTAGCTGGGAAACTATCTATGCGAGCCTCAGCAATAATTGCCGACGCGCTGCAGTACCGAGGCAGCCCCATCAGCATCCTGAAGCTGTTATTATATTGGACGCGTTATTATATTGGTTGTGAGCGTCCTCCGTGTATACTCATCCCATAGACTGCAGGTGTAAAAGGACTGACAATAGGCTCTGAATAGAGTTTTTCTAACTGCTATATTACACCCTGCAAATCTACGGGCGAGCATATTCGCTCTCATAGCTAGAGCCCTGCGTTCCCTCTCTATGTCAATATCATCCGACATATTTTCAGTAACCCAGTGTCCCAGGTATTTGAAACTTGTCACTCTTTTCAGTGGTACACCTTCAAGAGCGACAGTGGGAAAATTGTAGCTCTTATATTTTGATTTAAAAAATACGATCTCACTTTTCTTGAAATTATATCGTAGGCCATGAGCCGTTGCATACTTCTCACAGATACTGAGTAGTTTTCTTAGACCACTAATTGATGGGCTCAGCAGCACCATATGTCACTTTTTATTTATAATAATAAAAAAGTAGTTTTAGGCCGTCTTCTAGTTCAATAGGTAGGATCGGGAGTCCAAGTTCCAAAGCCATTTTTTTCTCTCATCATTCATCTCAGCATCAGGTTAAGATCCATAGACCGTACCTTGACTTTGCTCAGACTTTACTTACGAAAAACTTAGCTGAGTATATGCTTAGCATAATCTTTGATTCTGAATTTATAATTGCATCGGGCTAAGATTAAGCTAAGCTTATAAAAATCAAAAAATATTCTTTAAAAATCGTAAACAATTTAAATTTTATTTCATAAAGAAGTTGTTATTACATTTAACTAATTTTAGTTTAAAATATTATCAGAAAGAAACCGAATGTTTGGTCAGCCGGTCAAGCGCTGTGATGACACCACGAGACTTAACATCTTAAGATTGATTATTTGACCATTACCCCCTAGTAAATAACTTATATTCAGTAAGTTATTTTAATATAGTGCGACTATATTTTACAAAAAGTAAGTTGGACTCAGGCAATTAAGGTGGAGTACCGGTTCGGGAACCGAGTCAATTTCTCACACGCCTTGTAATCGCCATCGCACACGGGGCGCCTAACGATTATGGTCATCTAACATAAAGATACAATCTAAATAACACGGTTTGACCTGATTTTATGCTAATGAAAGTGCACTATAAATAACAGTCTTTTTTTTTTTCAAGAACAATCATTAGAATAGTGGTCATTAGGTGGTATTTTACGAAACAAATATATCGATGCAAATTGGCCAACACGCCTGCTAAGCGTGACAACCAAAGAATACTATAATACATAGTGACAACTGTGGCAAATATCCCTTTAATGAGGTAATCTATAGGTGAGGACTATGTTCAGAAAGTCAATGTTTTATACGTGATAGAGCAGCTATGTTATGGTTGTAGCACGAACGGGTCGGCTCGAGCGGCTTAACGCTGCTGTGCTTCGTATGGTGTGTAGAGAACCGGATACCATTTTTACTTGAAACGAGGCATTCCATCTTAGTCCTAGCGAGTGACAACGCATCAGCATTTTGATTCATAATCGAGGATACTTGTAGGTGTTATGGGCCACAGCAACCACTTACCATCAGGTGGACTGTGTACTCGTTTGTCCTTATCCTATCAAAAAGAGTATAGAAAAATTTTTACTCGAAAACAATATCTATATATAAAAACCAATTGCTGACCGTTAGTTTCACAAAAATTCGAAAATGGCTGGACCGATTTTGATGATATTTTTCGTGTGCATTTAAATGGGTCCCTAACGGGTCTAATTATGAATCTAAGCCATTCAGGGACTCAACAACAGCGCCACCTACCGAGGTTAGTAATAAAAATAAATGAGGAAACAACAAAGTTAACATTTCGTCCTATTTAAACAATGTCTGAACAATGTAGTCAGCAGTAACACGACTATGCAGTCGTATACGACCATAGAATACTATATCTATTATACACAATAGAATGGCAGTCAACTTTATTTTGTACGACGATAGGCGTCGCCGGGAGCACACATACAAGCAATTACGTCGTATTATTAGTAAATCACTGCTACAAACCTGATTCGCTGTGTTGACAGATAGATTTATTCGTATTACATACATATTTATTCGTAAATAGCGTGCAATTTGGCATTTTATAAATAGTTTGCATGCGAAATTTGGAAACGATTGTAACGTCAAAACACATCTCGTGTTGACATGTATACGTGTGAATTGACGTGTTAATGGCATTTTAGTGGTTACGCGGGCTCCGCCCACTCCACCGTTCTATTATGTATGTATTATGTAAGTATTCTATGTATACGACAACAAGGTGCTGCACGAAACAAAGTGCAGTCTGTAATGAGGGTTATAAGAAGATTGTGGAAAAACTCAAACCTATCTTAAATTCTACGTATGGTATTAATATAAGTATACATATTTTCGCGCATAAGCTAAGTGCTCTCATACGACGCTGCTGGCCCGCATGTTCAAATCTCGCTGGGAACAAGCGCGTTTTACGGCCTACAAATAATTATTCCAGGGTACTTATGTAAAACGATTTTATGATGGTAAATCAACCAACCAATTTTAAACAAAAAGGCTACTGTTGCCGCCATTGAAGACTAAGATAGAATGTCTAGCCTTAAGGTATGTGTAGCCTTACTAAATATATTAGCCTAGGAGTATACATAAGTAAGCTATGCAAATGTATATTCTAAGGCACTAGCTCCCTTGACCCTTGTGACACGGATAGTAGGTGCACTAACATTGCCGTTTAGTAGTTGAAGGCAGAAAAGGAGCCTATACCGATAAATGTGAGGAAACAAATATTTAGGAACAACCGCTTTTTCTATATTATTAGTCTGCTAAACTCTCATAACGCGGTCTTTGTGAAAATAATACTCTTAGCTTGATATAAAAAAATGATCAAATAACTTTTTCTACTTTTTTACTTTTTGCCACATGGTAGAGCCATGTTGAGCCTGCGCGAGATTAGAATGGCTCTCCAGCACCTTAAAAACGGCAAGTCCCCGGATGGAATTACAGTAAAGCTTCTGAAAGTGAGTGAAAAACCGATACATAAAGTTCTTTAGAAGCTCTTCAATTCCGTCCTCCATGGAGCAGAAGTGCGGTGGTCTTGTTCTTCAAGAAAAGCGACACCGCTCTCTTGAAGAACTACACACCGATTTCCCGTCTGAGCTGATCTACGTTCTATTTTCCACAGTCTTTACGAATCGTCTCGCACGCAGACTCAACGACTTCCAGCTTCCCGAACAAGCCGGTTTCCTAAAAAGCTTGAGCTCCATAGACCACTAACATACCCTTCGGCAGATTGTACAGAAGTCCGAAGAGTACAAACTGCCACTTTGTCTTGCGTATGTGGACTATGAGAAAACTTTTAATTCCGTCAAAATTTGAGCGGTGCTAAAGTCCCTTTAGCGGTGCCAAGTTGACTGTCGATATATCGAAGTGTTGAAGTGTTTGAACAGTAGGGCTACAATGGCAATCCGAGTACAGAACCAGAGTATGAAACCTATCCAACAGCAGAGAGGAGTAAGACAGGGTGACGTAATATCCACGAAACTCTTGACCGCTGCATTGGAAGACGTTTTCAAGCTACTCGACTGGAAAGGATGCGGTATTAACGTCAATGGCGAGTATATCACTTACCTTCGGTTTTCCGACGATATAGTCCTTATGACAGAATCGCTGGAGGACCTTAGCACTATTCGCAATGACCTCAACAGTGTCTCCCAATGGATAGGTCTCAAGATGAACATGGACAAAACAAAAGTCATGTGTAATGTCCATGTCATACATATGCCGGTCGTTGTTGGGAGCACTAAACTCAAAGTTACTGACGAGCATGGTCAACTCGGCTGGGCAGCGTTCGGGAGATTACGACACTTCTTCTCGTTAGGTATACCTCAAAACCTGTGGATCTGAGACGTTGTACTTCGTATGAGTAAGCTCAAAGTCACTCAGCGAGCTATGGCGAGGGCTATGCTCGGGGTTTCTCTGCGTGATAAACCTAGAAATGAGGATATCCGCAGTAGAACCAAAGTGACCGACATAGCCCTACGGATTAGTAAAATGAAGTAGCAATGGGCCGGCCATATAGCTCGAAGAATCGACAACCGAA